GCCTTCTGGTTGGATATATAGCTCTGGTTTCCCTTGTCCCAGTGAAGCTCCCTCTGTGAGTCTGATGGCTCTGGGAAGGACAGCCACCCATGTCCATTGGAGGAAAACCTCCCCTTCCAGTGTGATCCATGCGCACATCTGCACCTTGGACTTTGTAGTAAGGTGCATTCCAAGGGGATGGGGGCGGGAGGAGTGGAAACTTTGTTCTTAGACAAACGCCCTCATCAGGAATAGACATGCCTGCAAGCAAAGGTGCTGGACACCCATTCTTAACACGCTGTTGGCTGTCCAAACCATTCTTCCCTCACTTCGGCAAAATGAAGGTGACGTTGGATCATACAGGTTACTCCTTGCCCAAGGCTGCCCACCAGAGGTCAGGCGAGGTTGAAATCCAGCTCATAACCTAGCATCGTCCAAGTTTCAGGCTTGTTGAGGTGAGGGAAAGCCAGATTCTCACTCCAAATCACTCACTTATTAAATGCTGGTGATGAATCGGACTTCTATAAAGCAACGTGCAGGCCAAATAAAACATGCCTCTGGGCCAGATAGCACCGGGGGGCTGCCAGTGTGCCGCTGCTGATGTGTTCTCACTGCCTTAGTTTAAAATGAGGCTCAGAGGACTTCCCTGGTGATCCAGTGGTTAAGAACCCGCCTGCCAATCCTGGGGACACAGGTTTGAGCCCTGGTCCGGGAAGATTTCACACACCTCGGCACAACGAAGCCTGTGTGCCACAACCACTGACCTCAGACTGTGGAGCCCATGCTTTGCAACAAGAGAAGCCACCACAAGGAGAAACCCACACATCACAACTAGAGAATAACCTCTGCTCACCACTAGAGAAAGTCCGCAAGCAGCAGCAAAGACTGAAGGCAGCCATAAACAAATAAATAAAAATAAAAATAATAAATTGAGGCTCAGAAAAAATGCGGCACAATGACATGGTGAATGGCAGAGTTAGGCAATGAGAAATCTTCAGATTTCTGGTCCAGTCCCTCTGGACCCCTTGCCTTGGGGTCAGAGTGAAGGAGAGTCATGGTGGGCGCATTTTTGCATCACTGCCATAAAAATGCCCACAAACTTAGCAGCTTAAAAGAACACAAACCTATTACCTAACGAGGCCAAAATCAAGGTGCCAGCAGGGTTGTACTTCCTCTGGAGGTCCTGGAAAAACTTAAACTTTCAGGGCCATGCAAACGTACAGAATTGAGGTCTGTGACTGGAGGACTGGAGTCCCTGTCCCTTGCTGGCTGACTGCCAGAGGTTGGTCTCAGTGTCTAGGGGCCTCCATATTCCTTGACTCAAGGCCTGATCTCTATCTCCAAAGATGATAGTGGACCAGAGCTTCTCATGGTTCAAATCTCTCCTCTGCTTCCTTCTTTTGAGGATATCTTTTACTTTTCTGCCTTCCCTTTCAGTTTAAAAGGCCGGTGTGACTATCTTGGTGTCACCTGGATAATTCAGGCTAATCCTTTGATCTTTAGTTTCATAACCTTAATTCCACTTGCAAGGTCCTCTTTCATGTAATGCGACCTATTCACAGGTTCTGAGGACTGGGACATAAACATCTTTGAGGGGCCATTTTTGGCTTGCCACACGAGGTCTGGGATATTTTTGCAGGATGAGAAATTATTTCATTCTGTGCAGAGTAAATAAATGACAAATAAATTGTGTATTCTTTCTTGAAGGAGGGATGGAGCGAGGGGAAGTTTTGGGGGGCAACAATTGTGTCTTGCCTTTTCTGACTTGGCCAGATCATTTGCTGCAGCTCAGGGATCATCCCCAAGGGCAGGGGGAGCTCTGGGGGACCAGTCACCTCCCGGGGCTCCTCCTGAGTCTCTTTCTACCACTCTGGATGGCAGGTGCGCCTCCTGGAGCAGCAGAACAAGCTGCTGGAGACCAAGCTGCAGTTTGGCACAATGACATGGTGAATGGCAGAGTTAGGCAATGAGAAATCTTCAGATTTCTGGTCCAGTCCCTCTGGACCCCTTGCCTTGGGGTCAGAGTGAAGGAGAGTCATGGTGGGCGCATTTTTGCATCACTGCCATAAAAATGCCCACAAACTTAGCAGCTTAAAAGAACACAAACCTATTACCTAACGAGGCCAAAATCAAGGTGCCAGCAGGGTTGTACTTCCTCTGGAGGTCCTGGAAAAACTTAAACTTTCAGGGCCATGCAAACGTACAGAATTGAGGTCTGTGACTGGAGGACTGGAGTCCCTGTCCCTTGCTGGCTGACTGCCAGAGGTTGGTCTCAATGTCTAGGGGCCTCCATAGTCCTTGACTCAAGGCCTGATCTCTCTCTCCAAAGATGATAGTGGACCAGAGCTTCTCATGGTTCAAATCTCTCCTCTGCTTCCTTCTTTTGAGGATATCTTTTACTTTTCTGCCTTCCCTTTCAGTTTAAAAGGCCGGTGTGACTATCTTGGTGTCACCTGGATAATTCAGGCTAATCCTTTGATCTTTAGTTTCATAACCTTAATTCCACTTGCAAGGTCCTCTTTCATGTAATGCGACCTATTCACAGGTTCTGAGGACTGGGACATAAACATCTTTGAGGGGCCATTTTTGGCTTGCCACACGAGGTCTGGGATATTTTTGCAGGATGAGAAATTATTTCATTCTGTGCAGAGTAAATAAATGACAAATAAATTGTGTATTCTTTCTTGAAGGAGGGATGGAGCGAGGGGAAGTTTTGGGGGGCAACAATTGTGTCTTGCCTTTTCTGACTTGGCCAGATCATTTGCTGCGGCTCAGGGATCATCCCCAAGGGCAGGGGGAGCTCTGGGGGACCAGTCACCTCCCGGGGCTCCTCCTGAGTCTCTTTCTACCACTCTGGATGGCAGGTGCGCCTCCTGGAGCAGCAGAACAAGCTGCTGGAGACCAAGCTGCAGTTCTACCAGAACCGCCAGTGCTGCGAGAGCAACCTCGAGCCCCTGTTCAATGGCTACATCGAGACGCTGAGGCGGGAGGCCGAGTGCGTGGAGGCTGACAGCGGGAGGCTGGCCTCAGAGCTCAACCACGTGGAGGAAGTTCTGGAGGGCTACAAGAAGAAGTGAGTGTGGCCAGGCTGGGAGTGGTTATAGGTGTGCAGTGGGTCTTGACTGAGTTCATACACCCTTCCCGGAGATGGAGGTGGCTAAAGATTAGGGTCATCCCAGCCTACTTACCAAGATGGTTCTGCTTTATTAGTCTGCTCGGTCTTATCTCGGCTCTCAACACTTGCAGCCCCATTCTGGGAACTGGGGAAAGCTTTGCAGGGAAGAAGAGCTCCCAGCCTGGGAGAGGTGGGCACTCATCCAGAGCACAGACTGACCCAGAGATGGAGAAAGTAACAGTGAAAGTGTTAGTCACTCAGTCGTGTCCAACTCCGTGTGACCCCTGGGCTGTGGCCCACCAGGATTCTCTGTCCATGGAATTCTTCAAGCAAGATTCCTGGGCTGGGTAGCCATTCCTTTCTCCAGGGGATCTTCCTGACCCAGGGATTGAACCCCGGCCTTCTGCGTTGCAGACAGATTCCTTACCATCTGAGCCACCAGGGAAGCCCAAGAGAGATGGAGAGTGAGGAACAAAGGAAGCAGGAGGATGGAGAACAGACACTTGGGAGCAGTCAGCGCTAGGACGGGAGGAAAGGAGAGGTCTCTGGGGGAGTTACCTTGAGGATGATTTGGCAGATACCATCCAAGTGTCTTGGGTCATTCTTCTATTTACTCGGCAGATGAGTGATCAGGCTCTTGTTCTGCCAGGCTCCACGATTCAAAGGTCCATGTAAATCTTTTGTTTTAATTCGATCTATTTAGTCTGACCATTACCTTGTTTAAACTTACTGGGTCACTGTTAACTTGCTCTTCTTTACTTGGTAGATATGGACAGAGTGGTGAGTGATTTTGACATAATCGGTGCTGGTAATTTCACTGGGAAGTAATTGAAATTCTGGTCTTGGAAGATCAGGCTCTACCATCCGGATGGATCCAGCAGTGGGTTTTTAAACTTTGCCTGGGGGGATGCAAATGCAGACACAATTGTGTTTGCAGGTGTCAGGGTCTGTCTCTCACTCTGGGGGTGTGAGGGCCGGTAATTATAGAGCTCAGAGTTTATAGCAGTCCCAAATACCCTGTCATTAAAAAGTTGTGAAAACCATGTTCTGGGAACTCTGGTACTCCTTGTCAGGTTGGGGCAGGACTGCTCCAGGGATAAAGCCTCACAGGTAAGAAAGAGAGAATGGACCAGGCTGGCAGAGGAGGGCTGTGGAAATGCTCCCAGCAATCTGGGCACCATAAGTGTCTTCTCTGATTTCAAGGTCTTGGATGTTGGGGGAGAGGGAGAGAATGGCCTCCCGGGTCGCTACATTTTGTACAGTTTTAGGGTTGAAAGGCCTCCTGGAGCATCTTTCATTCCTTTGAAATGAACAAATAATTACTGAGTACCTGATCACACACTGGGCAATTTAACCCAAGACGCAGAGAGATTCAGTGACTTGCCTGAGGTTTTTGCAGCGACTTCAGCCCAAACTTGGACCAGAAATCAGGTATCAGGACTCCATATCCGGTGTCCTTTGGTGGGTCCTTTGTGGCTGAGAAACAGAAGTCTAGAGAGGCCAAGATGCTTCTCCTAAGAGTCACAGAAAGTCCAGGGCAGGACCAGGGAGTTTTGATAACCTAGGACTTGGTTGACTAGCCTGAGGCCCTCACCCCTTGGGTGGGGCCTCGCCAACTGTGCTGTCTGTCCTCAGGTATGAAGAAGAGGTGGCTCTCAAGACTACGGCTGAGAATGAGTTTGTGGTGCTGAAGAAGGTGAGTGACTCGTTGCATATGGAGGGGAATTAAATCTTGGATGCTGCATGCTCAGAAACTGGGCATCTTGCTAATTTCGAGTCAGTCCAGTTGCGGTGGTGATCAGACCAGGTTCCCCAGCAAATGGAGGCTTGTCGGTGGGTCAGGCTGCCAAAGCCATCTTGGCTGCCATGCAGGAACCAACTGTGCTGATGGAAGCTTCTTAAGAAGAGACCTCATCATGCTGCTGTTTGGCTTTTTGTAAACTTCCCGAAAGCTGACATGGTCACTTTCAAATCAGTTTCTCTCTCCTATGGCCTTTGCTTCGCAGTTCGGGAGGTGCTAGTTCTCAGCTTGCTAGTGACTATGGGAGCTGTGGTCCTTATTCAGTGCAAGTGGAGACGGTGGAAAAACCAGGGGAGAAAACTATTAATGATTTCTCTTTGATTTCAAATTGATGAGTTGAAGTGTATGCTAATGCTCTTCACAAATACTGTGCTTACCAGACACACCTTGTTTGTTAGTAATCACGGAATGGAGAGAGGGCTGGTAGAAAAATCTGCCAGGACAGGTGTGGCCTTGGTTTCAGACGGGAGAGCCAGCTGCTTTGGTGTTGAGGGGTGCCTGACCCTGGGCACCAAGGACCACCCCTGGCTTTGTGCTCATCACACGGCCATGATCTATGGACCAGTTTGACTTGGTGGCTGCAGCCTGACATTTTGGGTTGTCATCTTAGGCTACCTGCTTCTGCGGGATCCCTAGTTCCGGAGGAAGTGGAAAGAAGTCTCTAGGAGTCTGACTCCTTCCCACTTCTATCCCAGGGGTCCCACTGATGTTTATGTGATGGGAAAGGGGTGGGCTGGGAGATGGCCTCAGGGCCTCCACAGAGTGCAGAGGTCCCCTGGACCACTCTCCTATCCCACCCTCCTGTGTGTCTTCACCAGGACATTGACTGTGCCTATCTGCGCAAGGCTGACCTGGAGGCCAACGTGGAGACCCTGAAGGAGGAGATGAGCTTCCTGCAGTGCCTGTACGATGAGGTGAGCCTCTTCTCATCTCCAGAAGGGCAAGTGAAGGAAAACTTTTCTAGGAAAAGTTAAGCATTCCTTATTCTTCTAGGGCCTCAAGATCCTTTCCTTTTGTAACAAGGGATTTTTCTCTTGCTCAGATCTGTCAAAATAGAAATGAGTAATGCCCTTCCTTTTTGGAGTTAACAGATATACACTACTATATCTAAAATAGATAACCAAAAAAGACCTACCATATAATGCAGGGAACTAAACTCAACATTTTGTAATAACGTATAAGAAAAAAAAATCTGAAAAAAGATATATATGTATGTATAACTGAATCAGTTTGCTATACATCTGCTATACATCTAAAGTGATCATAACATTGTAGATGAACTATACTGCAACTAATAAAAGACAAAAAACAAAAAAAAATAACTTGAAAGACTGTGATTCATTGCCAATCTACACAGCATAACATGGAGATTTGACACTGTAAGTTTAGGTATGTGAATATAATAATCATATCTTATTAATTCAAATAGTGTGAAAGCCCAGCTAGAAAATTCAGGACTCTGAACCTATCTGTTATCTGGTGGATTAGGTTTATACAGACAGTCACAGCTGATCTGGGTAGTTGAGGCCCCAAGTGGAGTGACCCAATTTGACCCTATCCACAGAAATCTACCTCTGTTGATCCAGGCATTAATGAAATTTCACCTTACTGCCTTGATATTATGATCCAAATTCTAGCCTTTTATTCTTAAAGCAGCACTTAAAAAAATTTCCTGACTTGCCAGAAGTTTTCTAATTAATTTTCTCAAATTTCAGAGTTGGGGTTTGTGTTTTGAATTACCTGCAGAGAGGAGAATCGGAGAGGGCTTTGGAGATGAGGGCACTGGTTGTTGTCTCCTACAGGAAATCTGCCTCCTTCAGTCACAAATCTCTGATACCTCGGTAGTGGTCAAGATGGACAACAGCCGGGAGCTCAACATGGACGCGGTTGTTGCTGAGATCAAGGCTCAGTATGATGGCATCGCCAGCCGCAGCCGGGCTGAGGTTGAGTCCTGGTACCAAACCAAGGTGAGCTGGAGGGCAGACTGCCCCACTGGGCAGAGAGGACCTCTGGAGCTGGAGCTTCCCTGGAAAATGCACCCGTGCACTCAGAGGGGCTATGGTGGAGGTCCATGCAGAGCAGGGCAGGAGGTGGGACAATCCCAGAAGAATGTGGGTTGACTCTGCGTGACAACATCTCAGTACCTGCAGCCACCTTGCAGTCATTGGTCCTTTCCTCATGTCTGTCTCCCAACCTGCAGTGCGAGGAGATGAAGGTCACAGTAACACGGCAGGGTGAGAACCTCCGCAGAACCAAGGAGGAGATCAATGAGCTGAACCGCATGATCCAGAGGCTGACAGCCGAGGTGGAGAACGTCAAGCAGCAGGTCGGTGGGCTGCTGCTGGGGTCTGCTCTCTGCTTTCCTCCTGCTGCTGCTAACTTTGGAGGGGCATTAAGCTTAAATATAGGCTTTCTAGGTGGCGCTAGTGGCAAAGAACTCACCTGCCAAAGCAGGAGACATAAGAGATATGGGCTCGATCCCTGGGTTGGTAAGATCCCCTGGGGGAGGGCATGGAAACCTACTCCAGTATCCTTGCCTGGAGAATCCCATGGACAGATGAGCCTGGCAGGCTATAGTCCATAGGGTCACAAAAGAGCTGAACACAACTGAAGCAATTTAGCTCACATGCACAAGCATATATATTTCATTTCCACTGTGGTTTATTAAAGGATACTGAGTATAATTTCCTGCACTATACAGTGGACCTTGATGTTTATTTATTTTATATATAGTTGTTTATATCTGCTAATCCCAAACTCCTAATTTATCCCCTTCCCGATCCTCTTCCCTTTTTGGTAACCATAGTTTGTTCTCTATGTCTGTGACTCTTTTGTAGATAAGTTCACCTGTGTCATATCTTTGATTCCACATGTAAGTGATATCATATGGTATTTGTCTTTCTCTTACTGGCTTCACTCAGTACATAGCCTCTAAGTCCATTCATGTTGCTACAGGTATTATTTCACTCTTTTTTATGGCTGAGTAACATTCCTCCCGCTCTCTCTCTCTTTCTCTCTCCCTCTGTGTGTGTGTGTGTGTGTGTGCCACATCTTTATCCACTTATCTGTCGACGGACATTGAGGTTGCTTCCATGTCTTGGCAATTATAAATAGTGCTACAATGAACATTGGGGTGCATGTATCTTTTCAAATTAGGGTTTTCTCCAGATATGTACCCAGGACTGGGATTGCTGGATCATATGGTAACTCTATGTTTAGTTTTAAAGGAATCTGCATACTATTTTGGGCTTCCTTGATGGCTCAGATGGTAAAGAATCCGCCTGCAATGCAGGAGACCTGGGTTTGATCTCTGGGTTGGGAAGATCCCCTGGAGAAGGGAATGGCTACCCACTCCAGTATTCTGGCCAGGAGNTTGGGCTTCCGTGATGGCTCAGATGGTAAAGAATCCGCCTGCAATGCAGGAGACCTGGGTTTGATCTCTGGGTTGGGAAGATCCCCTGGAGAAGGGAATGGCTACCCACTCCAGTATTCTGGCCAGGAGAATTCCGTGGACTGTTTAGTCCATGGGTCAAAAAGAGTTGGACACAACTGAGCAACTTTCAGTTTCCATACTGTTTTCCATAATGGTTGCACCAACTTACATTCCCACCAACAGTATAGGAGTGTTCCCTTTTGAAGAGGCTTGTGTTTTAACAATCTGCATCTGAATGACCAAGAGTGCATAAGACATTCAAAGAGAGGATGTTTGGTCTACCTTCTCTGAATTCTGTTCTCGTTGCCCTCTATATCCCTTCACAGTTTCTCTCCTCTAAACACACCTCAGACAACATAGTCTAGTGCTGTGCTTATCTCCTGCTTTTTCTCTCTCCCCCCACTTCTCTTGTTGGACTTAGGGTGCACAGGCCTGAACTAGTGACACATCACTCTGTTCAAACGGAGCACCACCACCCTCTGTGCATTTCTCTCATTTACAACTGTCCATCCTTCATCTTCAGTTCCATTCTAATTTCATCCCAGCACTCACTCTCAAGCATTTAATATAGGTCTTTATAGTCTCTCTTTCATCTATATATTTCATATGTGTATTAGATTCATTTAAACCTCTTAGTGTTTTAAGTTTACAAAATGATATTATACCATAAATCTCATTCAAATTCTGCCCCTTGCCAGTTGGAAGTCTTTGAAATCCATGCACATCACTATAAATTGTCTGTTTCATTATTTCTGTCCTATTTATAAACCATGGTTTCCTATCCATTTCCTTATTGATGGATGCTTGCTTAGTTTGCCTCCAAGACTTTACTGTTACAATCAGTTGTATCATGAACATTTAATACATATTTCTACAGGTTTCCATGTGTAACCACATGAGGGATGTTTTGAAGGTATAAAGCAAGAAATGGAATTGTTGGGTTGTAATATATTCACTAATTTACTTTCCATAAGTGCCCTCGGAGTTCCGGGTCGGAGTGCTCCCAGTATGGGCAAGCGGGGACTTCTGTTTCAGCATTTGCTATTACCAGACTTTGGAACTCTTGTGGATCTAATAACATGTAAATGGCACCTAACTGGTACTATAATTTTCATTTCTGTCGTTAACTAGAATGACTGTCTCTTCATTCACTTACTACTCATTTGCATTTTCCTTTCTAAGAGCTGCCTGTTCAGATCATCTGCCCGTTTTTTTATTGTGATTCTGTCTTTTTTTCTCAGTGATTTCCAGTATTTCCTTGTCCATTCTATGTAGACGTTAACCCTTTATATTTATACATTTTGCAGTTAACCTCTAAGTCTGTCACTTGTCTGTTTTGCTCTGATTTCCTTCACTAAATAGAAATCATTAAACTGGATGTAGCCAAATCCATCACTTTTTGCTTTAACAGTTAATACTTACAAAGGTTTGAGGTCATAGAGATCTCCTGTTACAATTTTGTCTTCTACTGATTTTATACTTTTACCTCTCAGATTTAGGTCTTTAATCCATCTGACCTTTATTTTTGGTGTATACAAGGAGTAGTTTTTTTAATTAAATTTCTCTACATACAGTAAGAAAATGTGTTATGTAATCCATTTCTTTACTCACTGGTTTGTGATACCACCTGTATCATAATGCTAAGTTCCCACATATACCTGGTTTAAATTCTGTCCTCTCCGCTCCGTTTAGCTGTTCTCAGCCACTGTGTAAGATGTATCAGAAGTAATTTGTTACTATTAGTAGCCAAATAATGGAATATGAGAATGATTTACTTTCCAGAAGTGAAGTTAGAGAACGTTAGAAATTTTCCTCACTTGCATTCTGATATGCTTTTAAAAAATATTTATTTTAATGTGGTTAGAATAAAAACTTATAGGTTTCCTGAAGGCTCAGATGGTAAAGAATCTACCTGATATACAGGAGACCCTATCTTGATTCCTGGGTGGGGAACATCCCCTGGAGAAGGGAATGGCAACCCACTCCAGTATTCCTGCCTGGAGAGTTCCAAGGACAGAGGAGCCTGGTGGGCTAAGTCCATGGGGTCACAAGAATTGGATGCGGCTGAGTGACTAACAACAAGAACACTTAAGATGAGATATACCCTCTTAACGAAATTTTAAAGTGTATAATACATTATTGTTGACTTAGGTACAATGTTTTACAGTGGATCTCTAGAGCTTGTTTGTCCTGCTTTATGCCCACTGATTTCCGACTCCCTATTTCCTCCTCCTCCCAAACCCTGGCAACCATCACTCCACTCTTTCTTTTTTTTTAATATGTATTTATTTGGCTGCTTCAGGTCTTAGTTGCCGCACGTAGAATCTTCGTTGCCTCATTCAGGGTCTTTACTTTCGCCACATGGACTCTCTAGTTTTGCAGGCTTAATTGCTTGAGACATATGGGATCTTAGTTCCCCGACCAGGGATTGAACTCGCACCCCTGGCATTGCAAGACAGATTCTTAACCACTAGACCACCAGGGAAATCTCTACTCCACTCTAATTCTATGATTTTGACTATTTCAGATACGTCATATAAGCTGAATTGTGCAGTGTTTGTCTTTCTGTGTCTGGCTTATTCAGTTCAGTTCAGTTGCTCAGTCGTGTCTGACTCTTTGTGACCCCATGAACCGCAGCATAAATACCCAGAAGTGGAATTGCTGGATCATATGATAATCCTATTTTTAAGTTTTTGAGGAACCTTTAAACTGTTTTCCAGAGCAGCTGCACTATTTTGCATTCCCACTGAAAGTGTACCAGAGGTTCAATTTCTCCACATCCTCATTAATACTTGTCTTGCTTTTCTGATAATAGCCAAACTGACAGGTGTGAGGATTGGTTTGCAGTTCCTTGATGATGGGTGATGTTGAACGTCTTTTTCATATATCTATTCGTCTTTTATTTGTCTTGTCTGAAGAGATGTCTATTTAGGTCCTTAGCCCATTAAAAAAATTAGGTTAATTTTGTTTTCTGCTATTGAGTTGTAGAAGTTCCATATACTTTCTTAAGCGGACAAAAGGAAGGTGCTATAGTTAATGGATAAAAGCACTGGAACAGGAACTTCTTCCAGCATGCTGATCTTAGGGGACCAAAGAATGAGATTCCCATACAGCAGCCTCTGAAAAACTGGACTTGGCCCTCACTAATCGGGTAGCTTGGAGCAAGTCACAGCCTCTCCGATTAAGGTTCAATGTCTTCATCTGAATAACGGAAATAACCACACCTGTTCTGACAAGTTCAGGAATAACTTCAAGGTCAAATTAGATACCATCTGTGAAAGTGACTTGTAAACTAACAGCAGTATAAAAATGTGAGATAATTATCTAATATTAGCCTTAGTTTAATTCTAGTGCTAACATTTTCTTCCCCTAACAGCTCACCATGGAATTGAGTCTTACAAGATAGTTTTAAAAAATGAAGGGAGAAAGCTCCAAATGGCTGTGATTTCCCTGCCTAGTTAATTTAAAAATTGACCATTTTGAATTGAGGTAAACTGGGATGACCAAGGCTATGGGAGACCTTAGTCTCCCAGAGACCCAGAGTCCCCACAGACAGCACTCTTCTTAAGCTCCTTTTCTCCTTTCCTCCCCACAGCGCTGCAAGCTGGAGACCGCCCTGGCTGAGGCGGAGCAGCAGGGCGAGGTGGCCCTTAACGATGCCAAGTGCAAGTTGGTGGGGCTGGAGGAGGCCCTGCAGAAGGCCAAGCAGGACATGGCCTGCCTGCTCAAGGAGTACCAGGAGGTGATGAACTCCAAGCTGGGCTTGGATGTGGAGATCGCCACTTATCGCAAACTGCTGGAGGGCGAGGAGAGCCGGTGAGTACGGCCCAGGGCCACTTCATATCCCCACATGGGGCTAGAAGAGTGTCTCACTGACTCACCTCCAGGCAGAGAGCATTCAAACTGGCCAAGTCTCTAGAGGCCTAGAGAAGCCAGCCATTGCCCTATTCCCAGATAGGGAAACTGAAGCTTAGAGAGGAGAAAGGCTTGTCCAAGACCACAGCTTCTTGTTGTTGAGTCGCTCAGTTGTGTCCAGCTCTTTGCAACCCCATGGACTGCAGTACGCCAGGCTTCCCTGTCCTTTACCATCTCCCGGAGTTTGCTCAAACTCATGTCCATTGAGTCGGTGATGTCATCCAACCATCTCATCCTCTGTCATCGCCTTCTCCTCCTGCCTTCAATCTTTCCCAGCATCAGGGTCTTCTCTAATGAGTCGGCTCTTTGCATCAAGTGGCCAGAGTATTGGAGCTTCAGCTTCAGCATCAGATTGCAGCTAGTTAGTGGCTAAGCTAGAACGATACCAGCCTCCTCGCTAGCACGCCAGCGATCTCTGTCCCCTCCTGTGCTGTCCCTCCAGTGCACCTACAGCTCATTCCGAGGCAACTACTTTACCCTGTTGGCTGAAAGGGTGTTTTCTCAGTCATATCTCAGTGGGCTGTGAAAGCTGGAATCATTCATAAGGTTTGTTAAAGGCCATTCAATTTGGGATGCACAGAATGCAAGGAATTCTCTCAGCCCAGAGAGTTTGGTGTTCAGAAACGGAGAATAGACGGAAGCAGCACTGCGTCCTTGCCCAGCAGAGAAGACAGGGGCAGGCATGGGTCCACCCATCCTCTAGGTGACTGGGCTTAGTGTCCCAGGAAGACTGTCGGAGGCTTCTCAGGGGTGGAGGTAGAGGAGCTGAGGGGGGCGGGAAAGGGATAGGTCACCTCAGGCAGTGCTGACAGTTTGAGCCAAGAATTGGGTCCAGGGGATGTCAGCATGGGAGGGAGCAATGCAGGTTTAATTCTCAGGTGGTACAAGGGTCTCTAGCCTTGAGATGACCACATCACAATTGCCTCTGAGCTGGGTCCCATCATGGGGAGCAGGCCAGACTGGGGAATAGAGTGTAGAGGTTATGATCACAGGCTGTGAGCCAGATCACTCAGGTTTGGATCCCAGTACTACACGTACTAGCTTCAAAGTAATGTCTTAACCTGTAAAACAGATAATCATAAAATCCACTGCTTCAGGATATCTCAAAGATTCAACAGGTAATGGAACATAGTAAGTTTGTGCAGGAAGAAGTTATTATCAGAATTAGAATAATTCTATGGTGGGGTGGCCCGACAGGGCTGCACCCACGGAGAGACTCCATATGAACACTGTTAGTGTTAGAAATCTGACAAGAATGGTGCCCAAGGCAGCTGGCCATGCTTGACCAAAGCTGGTAAATTTCCTGTCCATTTCTCAGGCCTTTGGGTGAAGCCAACTGCGCTATCCCCTCTGCGCTGCAAAGCAGCCCCTAACCCACTTGCTAGCACTCAGTGTACAATGTGAAACTTACTTCATTATGGTAATCATCCATCGTCATTAGTGTGTTGGTAACTCAGTCATAATAAATGATGCACTGTTCCCTACACATGAGCTTTTAAATGGTTGTTTAGTGTATTTGCATATGGTGGCCATTGCCCTTTTGATAGACCTTCTTCTCTCACATATGGGACTTCCTTGATAGCTCAGATGGTAACGAATCTGCCTGCAATGTGAGGGACTGGGGTTCGATCCCTGGGTTGGAAAGATCCTCTGGAGAAGGGAATGGCAACCGATTCCAGTATTCTTGCCTGGAGAATTCCAAGGACAGAGGGGCCTGGCTAGGTACAGTCCATGGGGTTACAAAGAGTCAGACATGACTGAGCGACTAGCACTTTCACTTTCCCCTTACATATAACATATGTAATTAGATTATATGCTCATTCATTGCAGAAAGCACAGAAAATAAAAGCAGGCCTAATCACTCAACGTGGAGATAGCTGCTGATGGGCGTTGGCTAGAATCTTGTGTAAGGGCATGGTTCTGAGACTGTCGCAAAGCCAGGTTCACGTAGCAGGAAGGTGAGCTGGAAGCATACATCCCCTGAGAAGACGAGGAACGGAGAAGGGTTCTGAGTCAGGCAGAATGAATCAGAAGAGAACACTCCTGAAGAAAAAGTTTTGAAGCTGGGAGTTTAAAAAAAGTGAGGGAGACACAGAGCAGAAAGTACAGATGTTTATGAAGCATGCAAGGTCCTGGTATAATTTGGATCCTGCAAAGTAACCTCCCCCTGTCCTTTAGGGGTCCCAGGGAACAGTGCTAGCACTGATGCTTCTGCAGAAGGCCCCGCCCCTCATCTCCCCTCCCTGCCTTCAGGATGGAGAATAGGCACGCCGCAAAAGCAGAGGAACCAGGTTCTAACTGCCTCCTCTCCTCTCCCCTGCAGGTTGTGTGAAGGTGTGGGCTCCATCAACATCTGTAAGTTTGAGGGTGTGGGTGGGCATGCTTCTTTGGGTATCCATGGTCTTCATAGATTGCTTGTGATAGGGGACTGAACCTCTGTCCATAGATCACTGAGTGAGGGAGATAGGAGCTGAGAGACATGGATAGCCCAAAATATCTGACCACCACCCAAAATATGGACCCATCTGGAGCATCCATGAAGCTTAGGCTTACGCATGTGGCAAATTCAGACCTGCTCATTGGTTCTTTAAAAATCACCCAAGTCTTTCAGCCAAACAAAATACTCCTCAGGTGGGACAATGTTTTATGAGAAAACCAACCAACCAACCATGAGCTGTATATTCTGATCACTTGGGTCTACCGAAAACATCTCTTAAATCTGTACCTTTAACATTCAATGTGTATGCCACCTCTAGCCTAGATGTCATCTGTTCCTCTCCCCTTTCCAGCAGCGTTATTTCTAGATGATTCTGTCCTCAATCAGTTTTTGCCTAAAGATTTCAACATTGCAATGTAGTTAAGTAGAGTTTGGAGTCCAACTTGCTAACCATACCACTTCAGGAAGATGGCAATGGGTTTAGATTTTCCTGTAGTTTAAAAGAATTCATGTCACTAGTACCTCAGTGTGTAAAGAGAGTTAATCATTGGTTCTAGAAAAACTCTGGGTCATACCATGTCTGAAATGGAGAGAGTTCTGAGTTGGTATCTCCTTACAGGTGTGAGCCGTTCCCAGGGTGGCGTGATCTGCGGGGACCTTGGTTCCACTGTCCCTCGTGGCCTGGGTGGCATGGCCATCAGCAGCAGTGCTCTTTGCTCCCCCTCTGTAGGGGGAGCCTGTTCCAGTGTGAGATCTGTGAGGTTTGCATAGTGGGGGATAGGACTCTGGACAGATGGTGTCTGAGGGGGCCAGGGTGGAAAGTGGGGAACAGGGAAAACTTTGCTCTCTCAAGCCCAAATGTCAGTTTAGTGATTGTCCCCTACTAGGGAGCCAGAACTAACTCTCCAGGTTCCTTCTCACTGGAGTTACGGTTTACTCTTTGAGTGTCAACCCTGGGTTTGGCATTCTTGCCACCTCCATTGATTCTCCCCCTTCCCTGTGGTCCAAGAAAAGATGTAAAGACTTTTTGATATAAACTGCCTAGTCATTTTCTTCCCTAACTTCAGGTTAGTAGACATTTACTAAGAACTGACCGTGTGCCAGGCCCTCTGGGCAGGGGCCCAGGTAGCAGGTGGCAGGGCATGGATGCACCCTTGTGCTTTGCCCTTGGACAACGGACTGTTCATGGCCCAGCAGCACTGAAGGGGCAGCAGAGGGAGTGGGGCAGGGTTCTGGGAGTCCCCTCACTTGATCTGAGAGACTGTATGTTCCCAGAGCATCCCTCAACCATGTGGTGGTCAGGATGGAGAGACAGGCTAATCTTCCCGGGTTTTTATTATTGGTGGTTTGTAATTTTATTGTATTGGGGTGATTCCTGTATGGTTTCTTCTTTCTTTTGGTGTGCATGATTAAATGTCATGGTAAACATTTTCTCCTCTAACCAAGTCAATGCCTGTACACTTCCTTGTTTTCCCCAATTGTTTCAGTGCTTCTCCAAGTGTGGTCCATGGACCACCATCTCCATCAGGATCCCTGAGGAGTGGGGGATGAGGGGATTGTTAAATATGCAGATGTTGGGCTTCATCCAGAACCACTGAAGCAAAAGTTCTGGAGATGAGCCCAGAAATCTGAATTTAAGCTAGTTCCCAGGTGATTCCCATAAAAATTAAAGAGCAAGAGTCACTGATTTGTGTGGGTGGCTCAGATCATTCTGGCTGTGGAGGTGACTTTCCCTCTGGTTTTCACAGGATCAGATTCAACTCTTTGCCTTTGTCCTCTGACTTTATCAAAAGATCAGAGCCAGTCTGGGCCACCCACGGTGGGTGGGGTGGGGGCAAAGATAGAAAAGAGGAGGAGAGGGGAGCCTGTGTTGACGAGCACTGGTTAGATGTCTGGTACATCATATATGTATTTCATTCATTGCTTATAGCAACAGTATTGTACAGATACGGAAATTAAGGCTGTGAGAAGTTGAGTAACTTCTCATACAGCTGGTCCAGGATCCAAACTGAGGTCTGTGTATGTTAGTCACTCAGTTGTGCCCGACTCTTCGAGACCCCATGGTCTGTCCATGGAATTCTCCAGGCAAGAATACTAGAGTGGGTTGCCATTCCCTTCTCCAGGTGATCTTCCAAACCCAGGGATCCAACTGGGGTCTCTGGCATTAAAGGCAGATTCTTTAGCATCTGAGCCACAAGAGAAGCCCCCAAGAGGGAATGTCAATGTTCATACACCTTCTGCTGCCTTGCCTCGGTTTTTCCCGAAGAATAAAATCATGGCCCATGCCGTTCTAACTGATCCTACCTTACTGACACTCCAGAGAAAAGAGAAGAAAGGAGGCATAAATGAGTCTCCTGGAAGTGTTTGTAGGAACATCTCCTCACAGGTTCTGTTCTCTAAGAATCTTGGACAGACCTTAGTATGGGGCAGTTAACACAGGCTTCTTACGTGGGGATCCAGAATGAAAATTCAGACCTCTGGTCAGAGGACATTTGCCCCGAGGGCCTGGACAGGGGCAGTGGGCTCTGGGGGGGATCTCTGGTGTTGCTGTTTAGTCACCAAGTCATGTCTGACTCTTTGTGACCTCATGGACTGTAGCCCGCCAGGCTCCTCTGTCCAATGGGATTCTCCAGGCAAGAACACTGGAGTAAGTTGCCAGTTCCTTCTGCAGGGGATCTTCCCAACTGGGGATTGAACCCATGTCTCCTGTATTGGCAAAGTGATTCTTTACTGCTGTGCCACCTGGGACTCTCCGCCCGCTATTCCTGCACTGACAATCCCCAAGAAGAGCCCCCGGGGAAGTCGGTTCAGAGTCCTCAGATGAGAGGGTGTCCTCCCTGGATGTGATGAGATGGAGAGAGGGGTTTCAGTGGACGACTTTCTTTCATTTGTTTTACAGGAAGAACACTTATTTCTCCCACCTTATGTTATTTGGGATTTTTTTTTAAAAAAAGGATTAAAATAAAAGACCTGATTGGGTGGAAGATATCTTGCCCCAAGAATACACATTTGATGTCAAGACATAGAAAAATCTTTGAGTAGTTCTCCTTGGCAGTGCCCTCCTGATGCCTTTCAGAATGTGTCCCCACGAGACTCATTGGTCCCTGGGAGACCTGGGAGGACCCAGATCTTTTTTAGTGTGGTGGCCCCCTGGTCTCTCCTGGACTTAAAGGGTCTTCCAGGAGCTTCATCCTGGGCACTTCCTTGGTCTAGATTCCACTGAGTCTGAGCAGGGGAGAGAATTGGGCTCAGGGAGCCACTAGATCGCCTCTGTGGGGGGAAAGGAGTTGTACCAGGCCCCTCTGCCCCAGAATGGGGGAGGGGAGGGGGAGGTGGCAGAAATGGGGGAAGATCTGCCTTTCCTTTCTGATGGTGACGAGGGAGGGCATGTACACGCAGATGTGTGCCTCCAGTGTTTCCTTCATTTTCAATGCAACAGCTCATCCTCTGAGTGCTGCTTTGACATGCTCCCTTCCCTGTCAACTGACCTCTCACCAGTACTGTCCACTGCCCACTAAGGGAATAAGAGTGGGGCATCCAGACACGGGGTGATTCCCAGAAATGGTCATTTCTAATATCCATGTCCATTCCAAGGAGGGTTATACTTTGTGGTTTCCTTGGTCATGTGGTTGATCTGTTTTTCTCACTATGCTTGGCTCAGGTGAGTAATAGCTTCAGTTTCTGTTTCCCAAGATTCCAAGGACTGAGGCAGAGAGCAGTTGGTGACACAGGTTGGGAGAAGGAGTGGCTTGGGCATGGGTGTTTGTGAGGATGGCCCAAAGCAGAGAGGATTTGCGACTTGGTGAAGGAGTGCTTGTGGCCTCCAGAAGGAACAGAGAAGACCCTGAAGTCTAAGCATACCTGATTTTTTTGAAAGCATTATAACCCATACATCCTCATCCTTTGGAGAGCCTGTGTATTTGAGGGAAGGGTGTTGAATGTTTGAATAAGAGTATCTGCAGAGACCCAGAACCACAGGAAGTGGCAAGGCTGGAAAATGCTTATCTCACTCACCCCCAAGCTGATGCCCAGATCATGGAGGCCACTTCTTGCACAGTGTCTTACTGAGACATGGCAGAGCTGATGCTCAAATTTTGATCTGACGTTTCAGCCCTGGTGACTTACCTTTCTTGTAGATGAATGATGTGCCCTAAACTGAATGTTGGCCTACTCTGACTATATCCATGCCCTTGAGACCCATAGAGGTGGGAGAAAGAAGGGGAGGGGGCCAGAAACTTGGAGGAAGCCTGTTTGGTATCAGCCAGCAAACCGTAAACAGCAGCTGCCTTGGCACTCAGGAAGGGCCAGCAGTCTCCCTGGAGTTGCAGCCCTTTGGGCCTGAAGTGAGGATTCATCAGAAGCCGGGTATCTTAACTTTCCTTCCAGGGACAGGCTAAGGGATGGGGCAACAGAGGGGGCCAGCAGGTAGAATAGTGATGGCTAATCTGTTCTCTAATGGAGAGATGGAGATGAGTCCAAGAGGGCTGATGTCTACACCTCTGCTCAACCAGCCTGAGTTCACCCAACCATCCCAGGCCTGACATGTTCTGGAGTCCCATCTGGAATTTAGTTGGGGGCAAAGCCAGGAAGAGAAATTTCCTGGAAGTCCTTCCAGAAACTTCCAGCTTGATCTAGTGTCCACACACACCCAGTGACATCCGTGGTCTGAGCCACAAAGAAAGAATCAGAAGTCCTCAGGGTCTGAGACACTGTTGGGCAGGAAAGGGAGGTGTGTGTGTGTGTGTGTGTGTGTGTGTGTGTGTGTACACGAAGCAGGAGGGGAGGTGGGCAGAGGGAGCACTGAGCAAAGGCAAATAGGAAGAAGGGTGTGGAGTATATGTCCACCTACATGTCCAGGTGGGATGGTCCCTGGAGGCCTCAGAGAGCAGACTCTCCATGAAGTAGAGCCTGCATCTGAGAAATTGAGCATCCGGGTGGAGGGGTTGTACAGGACTGAGGAGAAAGTGCGGGAAGATGAGCTGGAGGAGACTGTGTCTGGCATAAGGAGCACATGCATATGCTGGGAAATTGTTTGAACCAGGTGGTAGGGGATAAGAGCCATGAGTTTGGGATTCTGGCTGCTGGGGGGATGTGTGTGTGAGGAATGGAGAGAAAGTGGTCATGTGGGAATATGGAGCTGTGGTCAGGACTGAGGGGTCTGAGCTGGAATCAGGCTATGGAAGTGGAGAGGAAGAGGCAGAACCCCTGGGGGGTGGGGGTCTGGAAAGGATTGGTCAGCTAGAGATGGAGCAAGTGGGACCTGAGTGACAGACATGTTGGAGGGTCGGATGTAGTGGGAATTCCTAATAATGTGCTTTCCCAACCTTGAGAAATTTCACAGAAATAGCACTTGGAAAAACAGCATATGTTAAGAAACTGTGTTATGATTATTCTTCATGTTTTTCTTAGAATAATAGCCTTGTTACAAACCCCAAGGCCAGATCCAGAAGGGAGTATGACTGGGATCATGAAAGTATGGACTTTGGAACACCAGGTCAGCGTCAGGTATGAATACTGCCTATGCACTTGCTGATTGTTCCTGAGACTTTCCCAGAAGGGAACGGCCTGGGGTAAAAACAAGGAGATCTGAACTATGTTAGGATAGTGTCTTGGGGAAGAAAGATCAAAGAAAGTTTTGTGGTCTGCCATTAGAAATAAAAGCTGGACTCAGAGTGGACTCTGCATCTCAGGCCAATAGAGGCTGCAGGTGCTCCGACCCATTGCACCAGATTTCGTGTTCTGTCTTCACTCTCGTCGCTCACTCCCAGACCATTAGGGCAACAGTCGGAGACATTGTCGTTCACAAGTTCACATGTCTTTGCATCGCAGCAGCATTTATTGAAACACAGATTGAGACAACCCAGAAGGCACGGCACCCACAGACAGTCATAATAAGAGGGAGACCCAGAAAGTGGCCTCCCCTTCTCCATCCCACCTGCTCTGGATTGGACAGATTCCCCCTGCACCGGCAGGGGGCGATCTGGAGCAACCATGGCGTTTTCTTTGAAATCTGTTAAGGTGTATGAATAGCAAGACCTGTCCAAAGTCAAAAGAATTCCCCTCCACAATAGGCCTCTCAACTAAAGCAGGAGGGGAGGTGGGCAGAGGGAGCACTGAGCAAAGGCAAATAGGAAGAAGGGTGTGGAGTATATGTCCACCTACATGTCCAGGTGGGATGGTCCCTGGAGGCCTCAGAGAGCAGACTCTCCATGAAGTAGAGCCTGCATCTGAGAAATTGAGCATCCGGGTGGAGGGGTTGTACAGGACTGAGGAGAAAGTGCGGGAAGATGAGCTGGAGGAGACTGTGTCTGGCATAAGGAGCACATGCATATGCTGGGAAATTGTTTGAACCAGGTGGTAGGGGATAAGAGCCATGAGTTTGGGATTCTGGCTGCTGGGGGGATGTGTGTGTGAGGAATGGAGAGAAAGTGGTCATGTGGGAATATGGAGCTGTGGTCAGGACTGAGGGGTCTGAGCTGGAATCAGGCTATGGAAGTGGAGAGGAAGAGGCAGAACCCCTGGGGGGTGGGGGTCTGGAAAGGATTGGTCAGCTAGAGATGGAGCAAGTGGGACCTGAGTGACAGACATGTTGGAGGGTCGGATGTAGTGGGAATTCCTAATAATGTGCTTTCCCAACCTTGAGAAATTTCACAGAAATAGCACTTGGAAAAACAGCATATGTTAAGAAACTGTGTTATGATTATTCTTCATGTTTTTCTTAGAATAATAGCCTTGTTACAAACCCCAAGGCCAGATCCAGAAGGGAGTATGACTGGGATCATGAAAGTATGGACTTTGGAACACCAGGTCAGCGTCAGGTATGAATACTGCCTATGCACTTGCTGATTGTTCCTGAGACTTTCCCAGAAGGGAACGGCCTGGGGTAAAAACAAGGAGATCTGAACTATGTTAGGATAGTGTCTTGGGGAAGAAAGATCAAAGAAAGTTTTGTGGTCTGCCATTAGAAATAAAAGCTGGACTCAGAGTGGACTCTGCATCTCAGGCCAATAGCTGCTGCAGGTGCTCTGACCCATTGCACCAGATTTCGTGTTCTGTCTTCACTCTCGTCGCTCACTCCCAGACCATTAGGGCAACAGTCGGAGACATTGTCGTTCACAAGTTCACATGTCTTTGCATCGCAGCAGCATTTATTGAAACACAGATTGAGACAACCCAGAAGGCACGGCACCCACAGACAGTCATAATAAGAGGGAGACCCAGAAAGTGGCCTCCCCTTCTCCATCCCACCTGCTCTGGATTGGACAGATTCCCCCTGCACCGGCAGGGGGCGATCTGGAGCAACCATGGCGTTTTCTTTGAAATCTGTTAAGGTGTATGAATAGCAAGACCTGTCCAAAGTCAAAAGAATTCCCCTCCACAATAGGCCTCTCAACTGGGAGGTCACAGGAGGAGTTTGGCTGGAACAGGTTAACCCAGAAGAAGGCAATCAGTTAGAGAGACAAGCAAAACACAAACCCAGATGACCAAGGGGCAATTCCTTCCTGCAGAGAACTTCCCAGCCAGGAGAAGGGGCCTGCTGGAGTCGGGGTGGCTTCCTCTCTGATTCTCAGGCTGAGGGAAACCTGGCTGGATGGTTAGGCTTATTCCTTGTGCCAGAAGAAGGCTGAGTTTTCATGATGCCCGGCTTCCCTGGGTGACTGGTAGGGTCCCAGAGAGCTTGGTGAATAACACAAATTGGACGCGGGGATTTAGGAGTCAAATCTGAGTTGAATGAAAGGGCTGGGAATGACTCTTTCTAACTGAAGCCTGTTGGAGAACCAGGAAAACAACTCCCTAAAAGGAGAAGGTGGCGCGGAGAGCGGCGGAGGGTCTTTCCCTTGTAGGAACACATGGAAGATTCTGGAAGCAAGCACACATTTTTTTCCATTCACACACCCTTCCGTGCTGGGGGGATGCAGGCGGGGCTACGCAAAACGGACAGACCGGCTGCTCCCACAGCTGAAGCTGGAGGCGCGGGGCTGACAGGGGACGCAGGAGTCGGGCGCCAGCACCGTGATGCTGCCCCCGGTGGCCACGGGGCCCGAGGCGATCTGGCGACCGGCGGTGGTGCTATACGTGAGGCCCCCACAGGTGACTCCACCGCGGGAGCTGCTGACACCTGTGGGAAGAGAGGGGACAGGGGAGCTGAATGGACCACAGTGATGTCGCCAACCCCAGGACAGGCCCAAAGGGGCTTCTGCATGCATGAGCTTCCTCCTCCCAGATGAGTTTAGTGGTTCATAACTCAGACCCTGTTCTCAGCCTTCCTTGGCACCCAGGCGAGAAGCAAGCAAGGACCCCCAGACACAGTGGCAAAGCCGAAGTGAAGTGAAGTGGCTCAGTTGTGTCCGACTCTTTGTGACCCCATGGACTGTAGCCTACCAGGCTTCTCTGTCCATGGGATTTTCCAGGCAAGGGTACTGGAGTGGGTTGTCACCTCCTTCTCCAGGGGATCTTCCCAACCCGGTTGGGAATCGAACCCGGTTCTCCCGCACTGGGGGTAGACGCTTTACCTACCATCTGAGCCACCAGGACAGCCCAGTGGCAAAGCTGCTGCACCCTCATTTCCCTGGCATGCAGTTCACATATCCACCAGTGGAGGGCGTTCAACGATGCCTTTAATTAGGGCCTTCAGGGAGAAGGGGGCGAGGGAGGGAGCAGGGAGCATAAAAGGCCCCCTCCCAGGTCTGGAACTTGCCAGGTCCAGTAGGTTAGGCAGTCCGGCTCAGATCTGCCCATCAATAAAGCCAGTTTTCTAGGGGGGGTTTCGAGCAGGTACTTACAGACATTCACAGAGCCCACTCCTTCGCACAGCCTATGGGAAAGAAAAGTCCGTTTAATTCCAAGCATTGAGCCGGATTCCTTGAGGCGGATTCCTGGAAGCTTGGGCACAGAGGGGGTCCTCCTGTGTACAGATCCAGTTCCCCAGAGGCAGGAAGTGCTCCCTCAGAGTTTGCCTTAAATGCTTATGCTCCTTTAACTATTCACTGACCACAGAGACAAGGCCTTCTGCTTTTCAGCAGAGGTGAGCGAGGCTACGAACTCCTTGCACTACTTCCGATCGGAATGACTTGGCCCACCCTGGATAGTGCCGATCAGGCTGACAGAGAGCGTGTGAGAGGTCCTGGTACCAATGAAGAGCTACAGCATAAACTGCATCGACCTTATAATGTACCCTCTTCCAGGGCAGGCCGAGTGGCAACCTCCTACTGGAAGAGAGTGGATTTCAGAGCCACAAGTCTTGAGTGAGGGTCCTGGCTCTTCTGCTTATTAACTGTGTGGCCCCGAGACAGTCACTGAACGCTGGGCCTTATTTCCTTATCTTTGGATGGGAAAAATAATACCTGGATTGTGAAGATTATAATGAGCACTGAGTACAGGCCTAATAAAGCATTCATAAATTACTATTACTATTGAAGCCTGAGCTGTATTAGCAGGGGCAAAAATGCAGTTCACACGTGGGTTCAGGGAAATTCACCCCCAGAGGACCAGGGCCTCCTCCTTCTAGACCCCCAAGGGCTTCCTCAGCCTCACCTCTGCTCCTCAGCCTCACCTCTGCTCCTCGCCCTCCAGCAGGCGTCTGTAGGTGGCGATCTCAATGTCTAGGCCCAGCTTGGAGTTCATCACCTCCTGGTACTCCTTGAGCAGGCAGGCCATGTCCTGCTTGGCCTTCTGCAGGGCCTCCTCCAACCCGGCCAGCTTGCAGCGGGCATCGTTAAGGGCCGCTTCGCCCTGCTGCTCAGCCTCAGCCACTGCGGCCTCCAGCTTGGTCCGCTGTGGGGAAGGAGATGTGAGGATGGGAAGGTGCAGCCAGGCTCACCTGAGCCGAGGGAGCTGGGGCAAGGATCCCAGAGAAAATTAAGTTAACCTCCTAAGAGCAGGTAGTTAATGGGACTATGAACACAAGGGAGGTGATGGGCACTTTTCATCATTTCCTCTTGATGGTGCTGCAGGGTGGCCAGGAGGGGAACATCAGTGATCTGGCTCATCTCAGCTCCTGTGCTGTGGGAAGTGCCAGGGCTCAGGCACCCTCTCTGGGCCCCTGCTTCCTCATGGGAACACTCTGAGGCCTGATTAGGGCTAGACCTTTGCTCTTCCACAGGCAAAGGGCCTGGTGCTACAGTCTTCCTGTGCTGGGTATTCAAGCCCTCCCAGAACTCATACCTGACACTTGGCATTTTCAATCTCAGCTGTCAGCCTCTGGATCAGGCGGTTCAGCTCGTTGATCTCCTCCTTGGTGCGGCGTAGGGTCTCCCCATGCCGGATCACTGTGGCCTTCATCTCCTCACACTGGGAGGAAGCAGAGAGGCTCCTGAGGCTCAGAATGGGACATCTCATCCATTCAGGACAACTTGGATAATTGTGCAGGTTGTACAATGTTCAGCCTGTGCAACTATGCATGGCTACCTTGCCCTGACACTCATCTTGAGCTGTCTCTTTCTCACCAATCCTAAAGATCAAAGTCCCCAGACAGAAGAAGCCTTTTCTAATACACACTTCTTATCCTTTCCAGTGCCATGTCTAGGAGGCAGGTGTTCTGGACCACTCACCTTGTTGCGGTACCAGGACTCAGCCTCAGCCTGGCTGCGACTGGCAATGTCATCATACTGAGCCTTAATCTCAGCGACGACACAGTCCATGTTCAGGTCCCGGCTGTTGTCCATCTTCACGATGACCGAGGTGTCTGAGATGTGGGCATTGAGGATCTGGATCTCCTGGGGGAGCCAAGAGCCAATGCATTTGGTTCTGGTGTCTGGTCTGGGTAACATGCTCTACCTCTGGGGGCTGTCCACTCCCTGGAGGACCCACTGGTCACGCATGATACATGACTCCCACTCGCCTTCATTCACACACAGGTACATCATTAGTGAAGCTGGAAGGGGCTCTAGAGGTCAGCTGGGGACAGCCTGTGACTTAACAAATGGGGAAACTGAATCCCAGTGTGTGAAAAAGGCCTGACTCAAAGTTGTTCAGCAGGGAAGCTTGGGTGTGAATGCCAGGACTAGTGATCTGTCCAAGAATTAAGACCCCTCTCTCACTGGAAACCCACCCTACCCACCCCCTGCACTCCCCTCCCCACATATACACTTTCATATCTGTGTAGAGACCTACACGCACTCAAACCAGCACACAGGCACACACACTGCGACACAGAGAGACCAGAAGGACAGAGACGCCCAAGCACACACGTGCTGCACAATCCTCGGCGCTTACGTGCACATGTCTGACAGTCTCACAATAGGCCCACTCACATGTGTGTGCATGTTCTTCACATGCTATCACCCGCAGGGGGTGAATGTGCACACAGTCTCCGCCCTGGGTCCCCACAACTTCCCTCCCCGCTTCCAGGCTGGTTGGCAGGGGCCCCCTCACCTCGTCATAGAGGCGCTTCAGGAAATTAGACTCCTCCACCAGAGCCTCCACGTTGGCCTCCAGGTCTGACTTTCGCAGGTAGGCACAGTCCACATCCTGGTGGTGGGGTGGAGAGGAGTGGGTGAGCGTGTGGGAGGAGGCCCCGGGAAGGTGGTCTGGGAGGGGGTGGCAAGCCATCCCACTGGAGGTGGTGTGCACAGAGGTGCCGCTCCCTCCCTCCCGCAGCCCAGCCCCCTTACCTTCTTTAGAACGACGAACTCATTCTCCGCTGTGGCCCTCAAAGCTACCTCCTCTTCATACCTGGGTGTGAGAGAGACATAGGCTGGAGCTGAGGAGTCAGGGTTTGGCAGCCATCCAGGACAAGCTCTTCTGGGGGTCAAATGGGGGTGAACTCTGCAAACGTCATCCCGGTCTCTCCCTGCTCTATTTTGTGCGTTGTTTGTGGGCTAGCCCTGTCCCAGCCTGGCTTATTCCACCTGAGTCCTGCTGCCTCTGGGATGAGATCAGAGAATGCACACTCCACACCCAAGTCTACAATCATCTTTCCGTCCTAGATCCAAAGAGGGCTGGTGACATGGGCAGGGAGGATGTGGAGCCCAGGTCAGGAAGGGGAGCAGGAGGAGCAAGAAAGCCGTGGAATCCCACTGGGCTTCCTTACTCCCCTGAAACCAGCTCTAAGACCCATGGGCCACCAAGGAGTTGAGGTGGAGCCAAAGAATCTTTAGAGACCTAGGCCCCTACTGCCCACCCTCTTGGGTAGCAGGCAACTCCTCTTGGCAGACAGGCAGGAATCTTCATGAAGCTGCTTCAAGAGGGTTGTGGGCAGAGCCTTCCCCCTTCACCCTGTTATCCCAGGCGGTGCCACACTCACTTCTTCTTGTAGCCCTCCAGCACCTCCTGCACGTGGTTGAGCTCCGAGGCCAGCCTCCCGCTGTCGGCCTCCACGCGCTCAGCCTCCCGCCTCAGCGTCTCGATGTAGCCGTTGAACAGGGGCTCCAGGTTGCTCTCGCAGCAGCGCTGGTTCTGGTAGAACTGCCACTTGGTCTCTAGCAGCTTGTTCTGCTGCTCCAGGAAGCGTACCTGCCCAGTGGGAGACAGAGACTCAGAAGGAGACCCAGGAGGAGCCCCGGGAGGTGTCCGGCTCCCCAGGGCTCCCTCTGCCCCAGCCCGGTGCCTGCTGAACAGCCAGGCCGGCAGGGGGTTCAGCTGCTGAATCCCTGCGACTCTGGGGGCCTTGCTCCCAGCCCCCTAAGGAGGCACTGTGGGAGGGAGTACCCCAGGCTTGAGGCCAAAGGTCAGATTCACATCCCAGGTCTGCCACGGTAACGGCAGCTTGTCTCACCTCTGGGTGCTTGGTTTTCTCATTCCAAAACAGAGATGATAAGAGTACCTTCCTTCAAGTTGTAAAGATTGAGCAAGCTGCTACATGTAAAGTGCTTAGAAGAGTTTCTGACACACAGGAAGTGCTCAACCAAGTTAACTATGACTTTAATTACAAGTTCTTCATTTATGCAGCAAACGTTTACTGGATATTTACTGTGTGGTCCCAGGGCTTGTGCTAAGATACACACACACACACACACACATACACACACATCTTTATCTATGACTGTACCTACCAATCAATTTTATTCAATTCTCACAACCCTATGGGGGGAGATCTTGTTTCCCCTATAGTACAGGAAGGGAAAAGGAGATCCCAAGGTATGAAATGACTAACTTATTGTCTCTTAATTAGTCAGGACTCAGGATCCTATGTTCCTTGAGTCTCCTTCACCTGCCTGTGACCACAATCTATCTGGTTCAGTTCAGCCGCTCAGTCATGAGAATCCTATGAACAGTCTGTCTAAGCAGCTCCCTAAGCTCTCAGCTTCAATTTGTTATTAAAAAAACAGAGATGATAATATCTACTCCAGTGATTCATCTCAAGGATTAACTGAGACCACTAAAGAAAGTGATAATAAGAACATCCCCCCTACTGTCCCGTCACCCCAGATCCCAGACCTGAGTCTGGTCCTATCTCTTCTGCTGCAGTAAGGCCCAGTGGACAGAGGAGCCCACACGAAGGCAGGTGCAGCGGTGACCTTTCTGGGAGGCAGCCAGAGGGCAGCTGGGGATTTCTCACCCTCTGCACCGGTGGGTCTCTTCTCGCCAGTCTAGTGGCCTCCCCACCTCTATTCCCAGCTCTGCACCCATGAAGCATCCTGGAAAGCCTGGTTGGTTGCCTATAACATCTCCTCGCCCACTACTCTCCTTGGAAGAATGCTAACAGCTAACATTTTCAGCCACTTTCTATGTGCCAGCCCTGATTGCACAGGAGCCCAGCTAATCTTCAAAGCAAACATATGAAGCCAGTTCTGTTAAGGGGACAAGCAACACGCCAGAAGATTCGCACTGCGAGGGAGCAGAGGCGGGGAGGTGGGGAGGCGGCAGGGCTCTGAGCAGAGCCCCAACTACTTCCCAAGCTGCCCCACCACAGGCCTTCTTTTCTCCCCACTGCCCCTCTGCTCTTCCAACACGCAGTGCCCAGTGTTTCAGCGGCAGCTCGGATATTCCTATGTTGTCTTGTCTCCAGAAGCGCAACACTTTACAGCACAGACTCAATTTCTGGACCACGCTGAGCCACGGATATAGATATACTTTGCTGGAATTACACAAGAAAAATAGATCCTTCTGCGCAGATTGGCCTGCATTTCTCTCCCATGGCTGGCGGCCATAGGCTGGCTCCCCTACAGACTGGGACCTTCCCAAGGGGAAGGCAGGGCCAGGGCCATCTCTGGACCATCCCAGGCCTCACTGACCTTGTCGATGAAGGCAGCGAACCTGCTGTTGAGGTTCTTGATCTGCTCCTTCTCCTCATGCTTCACGCACTGCGCATTGGGGTCGATCTCCAGGTTGAGGGGTGTGAGGAGGCTCTCATTGACGGACACGGTGGTGATGCAGGGAGGGCTGAGGCCACCCACGCCGCCGGAACGGTACCCGAAGCTGCGGCTGCAGGAACCAGCACGGAAGCCGCCCACCGCTATGCGGGGCCCACAGGAGCCCAGGGCTGAGACGCTANAAAGACTTGCACCCCAGGCTTGGGCACAACGGCTGAGCAGGAGCTGAAGTCCCGGACCCTGTAGCTGGAACTCTTGCGGTAGGAACAGCTCGCCATGCTTCTGCGTGCCAGGCCAGAGCCAGGACGGGGAGGTGGGGAGAATCCAAGGATGCCAGGACCCGCTAGCCCTCCTGCCTTTTATCAGGCAGACAGCAGGCCTCCAGACAACATAAAAGTCAGGAGAAAGTTATTAACACCATTTATGAGCGTGGGAATCTCCCACTAGGCAGACTGAGAGGGAAGCTGAAACTTGCCTCCCTTAATAGATGTATCAAGGAGACCCTGTATCACAGTAAACCTGCCCCTGCCTTTTCAGCCCCACAGGCCTAGACACATCCATGAAGCCCCTAATTCCCCTGCAGCCCTGGGAGCAGACCTGACATCATGATCCCACACGGGCGAGTGGAGGCCTGTACCAGTGCCTTCTTGAGACTTGAAGGGTCCCATGTCCCACTAAGGTCCCTGGGCCCATCCTTCCCAGCAGAGCATGTGATGCCTAGAGCATCCTTCCAGGTGAGCACGGGCAAGGGGTCATCTTCGAGCCTTTCCCTGGCATGGATGAAAGTGGAAGTCTCTCAGTCGTGTCCAAATCTTTGTGACCCCGTGGACTACATGGCCCATGGAATTCTCCAGGCCAGAATACTGGAGTGGGTAGCCTTTCCCTTCTCCAGATCTTCCCAACCTAGAGATTGAACCCAGGTCACCTGCATTGCAAGCGGATTCTTTACCAGCTGAGCCACCAGGGAAACACAGCATGGATGAAGATGCTGGCATCTCTTCTTACGTGCTGCAGGCTGGCTAGCCACGAATCCCTTCCATTGGCACAAGGAAGACAACCGCGGGGTCATGCAGGTCATCCAGTGCACAACAACATCCTGTCTTATGGTAGAGTTACTGGAGCTAAGAGTGGCCTCTCGACTCAGAAATCATGCCTTCTCCACTTCTACAACCCTCATGGCAACCAGCACATACTAGCTCCTCAGGAAGCATTGCTTGAGCAGCCCAGACACAAGAGGGAAGGGCCAATGTGTGAAGAGCTCCTCCATCTAGTCCACCGACACTGATTGATGCTCCACTGTGTGCCAAGCCTGGGAGCCAGCCTGGAGGAGGTGCCTTCATTCTTGGGGTGAATGCTGACATCCCTCCAGAGCAAGACCCTGGTCTAGAAATAAGGACTGTGGGAAATAAGGACTGCAGACACAGTTTGCCTTGAGGAACCTGGTTCTCATGGGAAGACCGATGGCAAGAGAGGGAAAAAGGACCGATCAGGCAAAGGGGGTGCTCCTGGCCTTCGGAGGAGGGCCATTCACTTATGGTAGGCTGGGGTGGCGTTGTGGGATCACAAAGGAGGTGGGAGCCAAGGCAGGTCCTGGAAGACAGTAAGATTTGGCAGAGATAACAGAGGCAGGGGTGCCAGGCAGAGGCACTGGGCAAGCCGGACACCCAAAGGAATTGCCCAGTACTTGAGGCCCCTCGACAAACCAAGGCCCTCAGCCCTGGCCTCCCACCCCTGCCTCATAAGATACCACCTCCCAGAAGAACAGGGAGGAAATGGGCCCAGTGGGGAAGTGCCTGCCTCTTGGATCAAGTTCTTTTGGCGGCCCTGACTGCTGTGATGCCAAAGCCCTCAGCTCGCCAGGGTCTTGAGTAAAACACTCATTACAAGAATCTCTGTGTACAAAGCCAAGAACAAGGACTAACCTTCCAGAACGCTGTCTTCAGGAAGCAGGCTTGGGGAAGGGGCATAAGAGAAATAGGACAAGGAGAATAAGGTTGGCAGGGGGGGGGGGTCCTCTCTTCTCTCTATCTATCTCTCTCTCCCTCACACACACACACACACACACACACACACACACACCACCCACAGCAGGAAGCAGAGTCCTACTCTAGGAGGGGAGCACAGGGATCCGTCCAGAGGGAGCAGTTTGTACCCCAGGAGCAAAGGGGCAGAGTCCCCAGGGTGAACCCAGTCAGTGATGGGATAAGGAGGCCCTACAAACTGAATTCCTACGGAAACAACTGACTCCAGTCTTTTGCTCTTGTGGCCACAAGACTGCCTCCCCTCCCCGCTTGCTGGCACAGCTCCCACACCAACCCTGACTGGTGGGAGGAGACTTGCCTGGGCCAGAAGGCCAGGCTGCTCTTCCACATGGACTCGCTGATTAAGGGAAGCAAAATAGAAACTGCAATACAATACGGATGCTCTGGAAGGGTCTCATGCTGGTCTCTGTATGTTCCTTACATTCAACAAGAATTTATTGAGCACCAGTGCCAGTCACCATTCTTTGAACTTGGGACACACCCGTGAATAAAGCACACAATGACATGTATTTTTTTTTAAGTTTACATTCCTTGGAAAGAGACTGACAATAAACTTGGTGGCTCAGATGGTAAAGAATCTGTCTGCAATGTGGGGGACCCGGGTTCAATCCCTGGGTCGGGAAGATCCCCTGGAGAAGGGAATAGCAACCCAATCCAGAATTCTTGCCTGGGAAATCCCATGAACAGAGGAGCCTGGTGGGGTACAGTTCACGGGGACATGAGCCAAGAGTCAGACACGACTGAGTGATTACCCTGATGATGATAAGTCTTATGGAAAGAGTAAACAGTACAAGACAAGAGGAATCAGGAGAAAGACAGGGCCACTTGTAGCAGGGTGGTCTGAGTGGGCTGCACCGAGAAGGTGACTTTGAGCCCAGGTTTTGAGGAGGTAAGGGGATGGGCCGCAAGGGCAGAGAAAGAGCCAGGGCAGCTACTCTAGGTGCAAAGAGGCCTGGCTGGTGCCCTCCAGGGACAAGGAGGCCAGTGTGGTTTGAAGGGCAGGAGCAAGTTCTGAGTGTGGACAAGTCTAGGAGATGCAGGGAGCGGAGGGTTCCACCCCAATCATGGAGCCGGTGGGCTCCCATTGAGGGCATTGTGGAGCCGGGGGGGCTTTGGCCAGAGGATGGACATGAACTGAAGTGTTAGATGACCTCCATGACATGACGGCAGCCTGGAAAACAGACTGCAGAGGGAGGCAACGGAGGAAGGAGGGGGAAGGGTCAGTGGGAACCCTGGGAGATAGCAGAGCCTCGTGCCAAGGAGGAAGCCCTGGAGGGTGTGCAAGTGGCCAGCTTTAGATGGAATCTGAAGAAAGAGCCAACCAGATTTCTTGACAGGTTGGATTCAGGATGTGAGAGAAAGGGAAGAGTCAGGAGGTCTCCGTGTCTTTGGGTGGGGTGAACCTGTCTCTGGGCTTCCCCAGGGGCTCAGCAGTAAAGAATCCGCCTACCGTGCAGGAGACGTGGACTTGATTCCTCGGTCAGGAAGGTCCTCTGGAGGAGTGTATGGCATCCCACTCCTATATTCTTGCCTGGAGAACCCCAAGGACAGAGGAGCCAGGCGGGATACAGTCTACAGGTTCTCAAAGAGTCGGACACGACTGCGGTGACTGAGCTCATGTGCATGCAAACCTGTTTCCACAACAAAGGGAAGCAGTGAAGCAGTGAGAAAAATTCCAAGATCAGTGCCCCAAACACTCATCCGGGCTCTGCTGACTCTATAGCCTGGCACAAGTCACCCACCCTATCTGGTCCCCCGTGTTACCAACAGAGCATGCCAGGGTCAGACTGAATGGCCTTCAACATTTTCTAGGGAAGCCATGGGATCTCTGTTTTGTTGGGAATCCATTAAAGTTCATCATTCCACAGGGCCCGTGCTAAGTACACTGGATAGATGATAGATAAATAGATAGATAATGAATACTTAGAGATAGATAGATGATAGATAGACAGACAGATACTGAACTCTCTTCTCCAGCCAACAGACCTACTTCTCACTGTGTCCCATCCCTTGCCTGTGTGCACCTGAGCTGCTTATGGTCCCAACCATTGCTTGCGGGAATCAAGAGCAAACCAACTTTGTTGTCTTTGGAATTGAAATCATGTGATCTGCCCTCAAACCCTTGTGAAGCTAATCTTTTAAAATCTGAGTTTCACCTGAAATGATAACAATATTGTTTGTTAATTGGCTGTACCCCAATACAAAATAAAAAGTGTTTTTTTGAAAAACAGCTGATCTCATGCACAAAATAAATAAAAACAAGGGAAAAATCTGAATTAAAATACCTCTCTCTTTAGCGACACTGATTTCTTTGAATGCCTAGCTCTGTCTCTCTTCATTAAAATTATTTGTGACAACATTGTCAGAATTTCGTTTTCTATTCCTTCTTAGGGCTCTGAGTATGTATTCATACCAATAATTAAATTGAAATTTAATTCTACAATATACTTTTCTAGAGCCTTGTTAAATGATGAATGTGTTTTAAAGAAAAAAAAAAGAGTGTCCTTCCATTGCTATCATGGACTGGCAAGGGACAAGATCTCTTCCTGCTAGTTTTGTTCACATACAAACCAGGGCTTCCTGGACCAAGAAAACTAAGCCTTATGGTTTCCTCTACCCTCTGGAGACAGAACTGTTGAGGAGGGACCCCAAAACTCACAGACGCTCTGATCTTAGCATCTGTGTTTACGCACCTGGCAGGTGTCCAACACATGAAATTCTTCACTCAACAATATTCAAGTCTTACCGTCTGTGCTTTTAAAGCATCATCTCCACCATCTGATGAAATAGCTGGTTCCATCCAACTTTGCTTCTTCTCCTCTTTCCTTTTCACTGAAATACATCCTTCCTTAACTCCAAGGAGTTTTTTAGTGCCTTATGCACAGTGTGACTTCCTCCTTTTACATTAAAGCTGTTTCTTCCATATAAAATCAACTGCCCTTGAAGTCCTGAGTTCCATCCCAACAATTGATGAATTCACAATTATCTCCTTCTGTTAACTTTCCATCTAGGTTAATTCCCTGTATCTGTTGTGCCTGTTCAGGATTTAAGGAAGATGTGTGTACCGGCGGTCTGGGCAATGGTGACTTCCTAGGAGGACGTTAGAGGGGGACAGGCTGCATCTCAGCAGTGGCACAGAGTTGCTCCGGGGTGTGCAGGAACTCGGGGCAGAAGGCTTCTTACTGTTCAGGACCAGTGGTGACCCAGGCATGGTGGCATCTCAGAAGTGGTCCCTCCCGCCTTCTCTCAGGGGGCCTCACGTGTTTACTCTCAAAGGTAGAGAAGATTAGGCTA